ATAAAAAATAAAAAAAATAAAATTATGATTATAACAATAACTCCCATAGGTTTCAGTTGAATTAGTATCTGGAGAGAAAAATTACTGTAATGCAATTCAATCTTTTTCCCACAAAGATGTATTTACCCTTTACTAGTAGTAGAAAAGGTACCGAGAACAGGATGTATATGGGTACAGAGTGCAGTGCACTGTGTTCCATGAGGAGGGGAAAGAGAACAACTAAGAGGAATAGTAGGACGCATGATTTTCCTTACGCCCTCTAGAAGATAAACAATTGAACAGCCGGTAAAACCAGAGCACCGGTCGCGCGGAAGGATGGGTGGTTGTTGGTGGACTGGAGATATAAGGTGGCCGAGAAACCTCCACCGGACTGCCGGACTGCGGGACCTCAACATTGTCTGTTGGTCCATTTAGTTTGTGTGTTGGATTCAATTAAATAACGCTCTCTCCCTCCCCCAGCCTGAGACAAAGTCTCCATAAGCCCATTTCTCTTTCGATCCTTTCTTCCTTTCCGTTTTCAATCGGCTCCTTCCCCTCCCTATCCTCTACTCTACTACCTTACTTTGGAGGGGTTCTTCGTATGATACCCACCTCTCTACACCTCCATCAGATACCACCGTAATTAATTCGTCTTGGACAGTAAGTTCAAATAGTCCCTTGCCGCCGCCACTTCACAATGATTGGCACGCGCATGCTGACCTTCTCCTCTGGAACCAGAATCTCTTTCCTTCCTCTCAACCTTTTCTCTCTGAAGACTGTCGTGTTTCGTGGTCTCTCGTCTAGCTCAGGCATCTCCCTCGCACGCTATCGAATCATGGCTGACGGCAACGTGATGCCCCCTAAGCCCTCCGTGGTATGAGAAAAACTCCAGTTGATATACAGTCTGACGGCTGGCTAATCGCATCAATTCAGGTGGTGGAAGCCCACGAAGTCGATACTTTCCATGTCCCCAAGGCTTTCTACGAGAAGCACCCGACGGGCACTCACTTGAAAGACCTGGATGAATATAAGAAGCTCTATGACGAATCAATTCGCAGTCCTCAGACCTTCTGGGCCCGCATGGCTCGGGAACTCCTTTCCTTCGACAAAGACTTCCAAACTACCCAAAGTGGCTCTCTGGAGAACGGTGATACTGCCTGGTTCGTGGAGGGTCGCTTAAACGCTGCCTTCAACTGCGTGGACCGTCATGCACTGAAGAACCCCGACAAGGTTGCAATCATCTACGAGGCTGATGAGCCGAATGAGGGCCGGACTATTACATACGGAGAGCTGCTTCGCGAAGTATCTCGAGTTGCCTGGGTGCTTAAACAGCAAGGTGTTAGGAAGGGTGATACCGTGGCCATCTATCTTCCTATGATTCCGGAGGCCATTGTAGCCTTCCTGGCCTGTGCCCGCATTGGTGCCATCCACTCCGTGGTGTTTGCCGGATTTTCCTCAGACTCGCTTCGTGACCGTGTTATTGACGCCGGATCCAAGGTGGTCATTACCACCGATGAGGGCAAGCGTGGTGGCAAGGTGATTGGCACCAAGCGTATTGTTGACGAGGCCTTGAAGCAGTGCCCTGACGTTTCAAGCGTGCTGGTCTACAAGCGCACTGGCACTGAAGTCCCCTGGACCCAGGGTCGGGACGTCTGGTGGCACGAGGAGGTGGAGAAGTACCCCAACTACTTCCCTCCGGAGTCTGTGAGCTCCGAAGACCCTCTGTTCTTGCTTTATACCTCTGGTTCGACTGGAAAGCCTAAGGGTGTTATGCACACCACCGCTGGATATCTCCTCGGTGCCGCTATGACCGGCAAGTACGTCTTTGATATCCACGACGACGATCGCTTTTTCTGTGGTGGTGACGTCGGTTGGATTACCGGTCATACCTATGTTGTGTATGCTCCTTTGCTCCTAGGATGTTCCACCGTCGTCTTTGAGAGTACCCCAGCCTACCCTAACTTTTCTCGTTACTGGGATGTCATTGAGAAGCACCAGGTGACTCAATTCTACGTCGCCCCTACAGCATTGCGGTTGCTGAAGCGCGCTGGAGACGAGCACATTCACCACAAGATGGCCCATCTGCGTGTCCTGGGCTCCGTCGGTGAGCCGATCGCTGCAGAGGTTTGGAAATGGTACTTCGAGAAAGTCGGAAAGGAAGAGGCACACATTTGCGATGTAAGGAATACGCTGCTTTATTGTGTTGGCTCTCTATCTTAGGCGCAGTACTGACCATACTTTTCCCTTGTTAGACTTACTGGCAGACCGAAACTGGCTCGAACGTCATCACACCTTTGGGTGGAATTACTCCTACGAAGCCCGGTAGTGCCTCGTTGCCGTTCTTCGGTATTGAGCCTGCCATCATTGACCCTGTCTCTGGAGAGGAAATCTCGGGCAATGACGTGGAAGGTGTGCTTGCCTTCAAGCAGCCCTGGCCTAGCATGGCTCGCACTGTGTGGGGTGCCCACAAGCGTTACATGGATACCTATCTGAACGTCTACAAGGGATACTACGTAAGGAAATACTCGAGTCATTTTGGTTGATTGTGACTAACTGGTGGTAGTTCACTGGAGATGGCGCAGGTCGTGACCACGACGGATACTACTGGATCCGCGGCCGTGTGGACGACGTGGTCAACGTATCCGGCCACCGGCTGTCCACCGCCGAGATTGAGGCTGCTCTGATTGAACACCGTAAGTAACATAACGACTGCGAAAACTTGGACGCTCGACGCTGATCATTTATCATAGATATGGTTGCTGAAGCCGCCGTGGTTGGTATTGCTGACGAACTCACTGGCCAAGCGGTCAATGCTTTTGTGGCTCTGAAGGAGGGCAATGAGACGAACGAGCAGGTCCGTAAAGACCTTGTTATGCAGGTTCGCAAGTCGATTGGACCATTCGCCGCTCCCAAGGCCGTCTTTGTCGTTGATGACCTCCCTAAGACTCGCAGCGGTAAGATCATGCGGCGTATCCTGCGGAAGATCCTGAGCGGCGAGGAGGATAGTTTGGGTGATATTTCTACCCTGTCCGATCCCTCGGTGGTCAGCAAGATCATTGAAACCGTTCACGCTGCCCGGGGCAAATAGATGGACGACGACATGAGTTATGATGAAAGAAAGAAGAAAAACCGAAGCCAAAAAAAAAAAGAAAAAAAAGATTAAAAACAGCGATAGTATGACATGATGGTCTTAAATTCCTTTGCACTGAACTGGTGCAGTGTTTGTGAAGAGCAGAATTATTCTCATATGCGCGTATTTCGCTCTGGCTTTACTCTGTGATTCCCGTGTTCTTGTCACCTGGAGAAGCGATGTTATTCTGCTTGATATGTGTATCATGTTCCAAATTTTCCAATATATATATATATCCCTTTTTTCTTTATTCCCCTGAAAAAATTTAGACATTCTAACCACGGTAGATTTCCAACAACACACACTTTGTTACTGGACATGCTCTTGGCTTCCCTGCTAGCTGATTGATGGCTAACAAACAGCTCGGAGAATTATGAAAAAAAATAAAAAAATAAAATATAAAATAAAATAAAATAAACATTAAGAAGAAGAAAAGAATAACATATAAAAAAAGGAATGAAAAACAGAAAGGTGCAAACACTACTAGTGCGAAGTGGTACCAAAACTGAGCTAAGGTAACTGAGGTTTTTCTCAACCTTCAGCTGAAAAGACTCAGTGGGCCAGTGGAGGTCAAGCACCTGCTCAGATCCCAGCACCCGCCAATAACACCTTGCCATTCCATTCGTCAACTTGGAATTGGGCGATGGATGCATGAGGGTTACAAGTACTTGGTGGATTAGCGAATGGACGTTGCATCTGACTCGTCTTCATCTGCAATAAGGTGACCGCTACAAGATGTGCTCTCGTCATTTGTTTTGGACGATCTGCATGGGCTGGCCTTATAAATAGGCAGACATACAGCCCGAGCACTAGCATTATTTCTCCGGATCCACGTTCTTGTCAACTCTTCACAAACACTGCCGTTGTCCTACTGCAAAAAAGATGAGGTCTACCTCGCCGCACATGCTCCCAGTGGGAGAGCCCAACCCACCCAACGAGAAGCATGTGAGTGCAATCTCGATATTGGTTCAATGATCTGATAAAAAGTACTGACGAGGACGAACAATAGTCTGTAAGCGTATCCCTGCCGACATGGGAGTCCGTCGCTGCTTGGGGCCGCCGAGAGCAATGGCTGTTGGACTCAATGCATACCTGCTATCCACGGTTAGCTACTCGTTCTTGATACCTCGCATTCTAGGCTCAGTCGGGATAGGTTTGGCATGCATCCATCGGTACGCAAATTGATGGATGCCGTATGTGCTCGACTGGGCACCCCCACGGATTTGAGCTGTCTGATCTTTCCCTCGGCCGATGCCGCCGCCAGGTGTACAGCCCGACTATCAGCTGAACACCCCGACGAAGCGTGTCACACCGTCAAATTCCAATCACACCAGCCAGCAGATGAAGAAGCTCTACGATGGGCCACGTTCTTTGTCGTCCTGTTTCCACAGGCATGTGTCTCCACTGCTATGCATTTCTGGAAAGTGTTTGGGGATGGAATCGCGGGTCGTCATGCGGAGCATTGCCTTGCGGCGCTTCCCTCCATGAATTCTTACTCAAAGAACACTAATTTTGAAGCCTCAGCCGCATGCCGAGATCATTTCACATGGGATCTGCAATGGGTCAACTCGGCTGCGGCCGAAAAGGAATCTATCCGGAACTTGATTGCACGTTTGGTCAGTTCCGACCAGCCGGGCTATCGCCCTGTCAGCAGTCACGATGTCTTTCTCTACCCTAAAGGAATGTGTGCCATTGCAGCAGTGGCCAGGGCCTTGGTACCTCAATCTGCGGAGCTCTCTGAAGCGGTAATCTATGGGTACGTCAAACGGGCTCTTATCTTCGGTTGCCGCAGAGTTGATGATAATTCTAGATGGCCATACGCCGAAACTCCGCTCTGTGTTAAAGAAAGTGATTACAAACGATCTACTCTACTCAGCGCTGGAAGCAAACAAGAACTCGATGAGCTGGAATCCTCCCTTGCGGCCGGTCGTCGCATCCAAGCCCTGTTCTGCGAGGTTCCCTCCAATCCACAACTGCGAACCCCCGATCTGCCGCGAATTCATGCCCTGGCTGCACAATATAATTTCATTGTAGCGGTCGACGACACACTCGGTACTTTCGTCAACATCGATGTTTTACCCTATGTCGATGTGATTATGACCAGCTTAACGAAGATCTTTAGCGGCATGTGTAATGTGATGGGGGGAAGGTGAGCGCCCTGTACCGCCGAGACGATCCAGACCACTTGTTGACGAAACTGTATCACAGCGTCGTTGTAAATCCGCAGTCGTCGCACTATACCACGATTCACTCAGCTCTCACAGCCCTGTACGAAGATACGTATTTCCCTCTCGAAGCCATGATTATGGCCCAGAATGCCTCCGACTTTGAAGAGCGAGTCAAGCAATGCAGTGCCAATGCCCACACAATCGCCAATTTACTCGCGAAACATTCTTCGGTGGCTCAATTGTATTATCCTACGTTAGTACCCTCACGGCAATTCTACGATCAGGTGCGGCGCAAGGATGGTGGCTACGGGTATTTGCTTAGCATTGTTTTCCATAAACCCGAGACTGCTATGCGCTTCTATGACCTGCTGGACATCTGTAAAGGACCTAGCGTCGGAACCAACTTCTCTCTAGCGATTCCATACAGCTTGCTGGCGCACTTTCGGGAGCAGGACTGGGCAGAATCCGAGGGTGGAATAGACAGGCATATGGTCAGAATCAGTGTTGGGTTAGAGAGAGAAGAGGATCTAATTGCGAGGGTCCAGGATGCGTTGACAGCAGCTACGGCAGATTACTGAAGTCGTAGGGTTACTCTTGGAATGGGTACATCGGAAACCTGGGAGACCAGGCTTGATTCAACAATAGCATCTCCGTGGTTAGTAGTTACTCTGATCAGATTGCATAGCAGGAAATAGGAGTCTTCCATGTTTTTGGTTGAGAAAATGAGCATAGATTTCCTAGTATTCGTAGACGAAACTTGTAGGTCGCATCCTCTGCACATACATTTACTAAATGCGGTGACATATCAACGGTGGATTTTTCGAAGGTAAGGCCAGCTCCGTTCAGGCATCAGGAACACGTGATTATAAGGTGAGGATGACAGTACCATACCCAAATTACGAGCGGTAGCCTCGAGTTGACCGGTATCAGTGACAGTTCCGATGTCCTGCTGCCGTAAGCGAAGGAGGCAACGGTAACTTTGTGACTACTTCTCCCTCACCCATCTTCTCTTCGCAGCTCTTTTCCCTTCACCGTCGCGTTTGTCCACTCTTCTTTCCTCCCACCCCTTCATCTTCTTTTCTCTTGATCTCGATATTTGCAATCGAGGACTTGTGCACATCCTACCTGAGACGGTGACTACCCGTCTTAAGCCGGTGTGGGCCCTTTTTTTTTGTTTTTCGAGAAATCAAAACAGATTTTCTTTGCTTCTCTTTCAGCGCGTCGAGCTGCTTCTCGCAGAGCAACACAAGTTTGTCTCTACTTTGTGGAAGCGCACTGTAACTGAGCATATCGCCTGCTGTTATTTGTTGATTTAAGCTGGTTAATCACCTTTCGCGCAATCCTGACAACTTTGCGGTCTCCGGACAACTTCGAACGAATGAACCTATAAGCATCAATCCATACCAAACATCATGTCTTTCGGATTCGGAGGATTTGGTCAAAACAACCAGAGCTCCGGATTTGGAGCTGGCTCTGGCTTCGGTGGGACGAGTTCTGGAGGAGGTAGGTTTGCAATCCATCATGTCGCTGCGATTTTTTCTGCCTTGGACCTGTGAAACTTTTACCTTTCAACCCTCTTGGGACTTCCACTGGTTCTACAATCGGTCCTCACTGGTGCTCCTGACGTCGACCCCGCGATGGTTCCACTTGGCTCTCGACATACCAACACTCCGCGGATGTTTTCGACTCTGAGCAACACAGTTGGCGCCGCAAGAGAAGGGATCGCAGCTTGATTACAGTCTCTGACAGCATCTTCCCCCGTCATCTAGGCTTTGGATCTACATCGTCCCCATTTGGTGGCGGTAACACATCAGGCGGTGGCCTGTTTGGGAATACTTCCAGTAGCTTTGGTTCCGGAGGAGGTACGTGTCCAATGACGATGTGTTCATGAGCTTGGCGATCCTTTCTCTTCTCTGCTCGCCTCATGGACGGAACTCTTGGCCTTACTGTTGTTGCCATTCATGATACTTGGCAACCAACATCACCACGACTTGCTGGTGAATGCACATTACTGCAGTACTCTCTGATGAAGTGAGGGAAACGAACAAGTGAACTAAATATCCGCTCTGGCCATCGGGGATCTGTGTCCAAGGACGAGCTTTCTTTCCTCAAATATTCCAATCAATTTCTTCATATATTGTTTCTAGCGCAAGCCCCGGCAGTGAAACTGACGTTTTGACTTATTTAGGATTCGGAACGGGTACGCAGAATCAGTCAAACTCACTTTTTGGCAGCCAAAACCGGACTGGCGGCTTTGGGGCTGGGACTTCAACAACCGGTGGAAGTCTTTTTGGAGGCAGTGCAGGAGGTACAACAGCAACAACTACCGGCGGTGGTTTTGGTGGTTTCGGTTCAACCGGAAACACTGGAGGCTTCGGAAGCTCCAATAACACCACCGGTGGAGGCCTCTTTGGCAACAAGACTGGCACCGGCACCGGCACCGGCACTGGCACTGGCGCCGGCTTTGGTAGTTCAACTGGTACAGCAGGTGGCTTTGGCACAAGTGGCGGCTTTGGAAGCGGCACTACTGGCTTTGGTAGTGGAAGTGGAACTGCATTCCAGCAGGCCGTTCCTCCATCAGATGGTACTGGTAGCACGCCATTCAGCCCTTTTACCGAAAAGGATGGAAACACAAATGTAACCAACCATTACCAAAGCATTTCTTTCATGCAGCCATACAACAAATACTCATTTGAGGAGCTACGTCTGGGTGACTACCAACAAGGCCGAAGATTTGGGAACGGGAGCGGACAGGCCGGTGCTTTTGGTACGTCGGCATTCGGTGGAAGCGGTTTTGGTCAACAGCAACAGTCGACTGGGTTTGGAAGCACTTCTTCCCCCTTCGGTGGCACCAGCGCCCCTGCCTTCGGCCAGGCACAGACCCAAACCACTGGTGGGTTTGGCTCCACCACTAGCAACCCCTTGTTTGGGTCCAATAAACCAGCGACCTCTTTATTCGGAGGAGGGGCTACTTCAACGGGAACGTCACAGCCCAGCTTATTCGGCGGGGCCACCGCGACTGCCGGCGGCTTTGGTAGCACAGCCAACACCGGAACTGGTTTTGGAGCTGGTGCATCCGGTGGTCTCTTTGGCAACAGCAACAACAATAATGCTCAACAGCAACAACAAAACAAGTCCTTGTTTGGTGGAGGCGGTACGTCTACCGGGACAGGCTTTGGTGGCTTTGGACAGCAGAACACCAGTACGTCTACGCCATTTGGTGGTACTACTGCTACCTCGTCCCCGTTTGGCGGCGGTCAGCAGCAGCAGCAGCCCCAGCAGACTGGGGGAAGCGCATTCGGTGGGTTTGGTCAACAGAACCAGCAGAACCAGGCTCAGACTCAGAACAAAGGGCTGTTTGGCGGTTTTGGACAAAACAATCAACAGCAACAGTCCTCGACACCTAGCCTATTCGGAGGTGGCGGCGCTACTACGGGAGGCTCTTCTCTCTTTGGCCAGAATAATCAGCAGCCATCGACTGGCGGTTCCTTGTTCGGAGGCGCGAACCAGCAATCCGGAACTGGATCGCTATTCGGTGGGGGGGCTCAGCAGCAAAGCCAAAAGACTGGACTATTTGGGTCTGGCACCACCGGTACACCAACTGCAACCAACACATTCGGAGGCTTTGGTAATACTCAGAATCAGCAGGCCGGAACTGGTGGCCTGTTCAATGCACAGAACCAGCAACAGCAAAAGCCCAGTCTTTTTGGTGGGAGCACCGGCACCAGCGGTTCCTTGTTTGGAGGCGGTGCTACAACCACTCCAAACACGGGCTCCTCGCTTTTTGGTAACACACAAAACCAGCAGCAGCCGCAGACTGGGGGTCTCGGAATGGGTACATCCAGCCTCTTCGGAAGCACGCAGCAAACACAAGCTCAACAGCAGCAACCTCAGCAGCCGGTGCCTGGTAGCCTGCAGGCCTCCCTCTTGGACCCAAACCCATACGGGAACCAGTCCATCTTCTCTGGTCTGCCTGCTCCAAGTGCTCCTAGCCCTGGTCCATTGGCGACGCCGCTTGCTTCGTCTATCAGGCAAAAACAACGCACCCCATTGCCAGTTTACAAGATCACACCCAACGCTGCTAACCGTCTCGTCACACCGCCAAAACGCCAAGGGTACGGGTTCTCTTATTCGACCTACGGGTCACCTTCTAGCTCTACTGGTACTCCTAGCGGGCTCGGCAATAGTCTTCTGGGCGGCAGCCTGCGTGGAAGTGTCAATGGCGGTCTTGGGCGCGCTAGCTTCAGCAAGAGCTTCTCTACGAGTAACCTTCGCAAAACCTTTGACCCGGAGGCTGACAGCGTGTTGTCTCCAGGAGCCCTTTCCTCTGGCTCCTCTCGTCTGTCCAGCGGTAATCTGAAGCGCCTTACCATTGACCGCAGTCTGCGGAACGATCTCTTCTCACGGCCCGCCAGTACACCTGCCGCTGCGATCACGAATGGCGAGGATTCCGCCCAACCGACGGATAAAGCCAAGAAGAAGGTCAGCTTTGAATCTACCTCGGATGCTACCACAGGAGGTGAAATCGTACCGGTACAGTCTCAACCCTCCGAGCCCACGCCAGAAGAGCTGGGTTTCCTCCGCTCAATTCGCAAGAGCAATACCGTCAACGGGCTCAATGGGATTAAAGAAAATGGCACTCGGCCCGAGATGGAATCTGTCCGGGACAAGGATCTTCCGGCTGTCCCTGAAGACTCTGAGCAGACCGCAGTCACCGATGGCCAATCACGGCTGGCTTTCGTCCCCGGCGGCGATCCACAACCTGGCGAGTATTGGATGAAGCCCACCAGGGCTGAATTGAGCAAGATGAGCCGCGACCAGCTCAAGCATGTAGTGGGCTTCACAGTCGGTCGCCAACATTGTGGTCAAGTGACATTTGATGAACCCGTTGACTTGACCAACATTGATCTGGACCAAATCTTTGGAGGTCTTGTTGATATCGGCGTGCGGAAAATTACAGTGTATCCAGATGAAGCAATCAAACCCCCTAGGGGCAAAGGGCTGAATGTCCCATCTATCCTTCGAATCGAAAATTCCTGGCCGCGAGGCAGAGATAAGAAGTCCCCATCACCTCTCACCAGCGGGCCTCTTTTCGAAAAGCACGTCGATCGCCTGAGGAAGGTCCACAACACTGATTTTATCGATTACGAAACGGAAACGGGAACATGGGTTTTCAAGGTGCCGCATTATACTACATATGGCCTTGATTATGATAGCGATGATGAAGGTGAGAGCCTCAACCAAAGCACTTTGAGTGCTGCTCCTGACACACCGACTCCGAAGGCTCATACTCCCACCAATCTCGATAATACAATGACCTCAGAGCAGATGTCCACCTTCTCGACAGATGATTCTTTTCTCGGGTCGGTGGCTGGTATCGACGATGACACATTCGATTTTAAAAAGCGTAAATTAGTCCCAGGGTCGTTTGGCAACCAAGCAATGGAAACAATGGAGGATGAACACTCGAATTCCGGCGAAGATGAGGAGTCTTTTTTAGGGGAAGGCTCCACGGGTTCAACTACTGAGCAAGAAGGTGACGATGTCACTGAAAGCCAGCAGTCTGGCGAATCAGAAGTTGAATTAGATGAGGACGAAGAAATGGACATGGCAGGCACCTTTCCCTCCCTTCATCATACCGTGGAGCGCGATGATACCAAAAGCATCGTCAGCTTAAACGAAAACACACAGCCATCTTTAAAACCATGGAGTACGCCACCAAAGGCTCGTCTTGATCTTAGCGGGGACTGGGCTGCGCAGCTCCAACGAACCATTAGTCCCAGGAAGCAAGACCGCGACGCCCTGCGTGAAATCCAGGCCAATGCCTTCACGGACAGGCCTCTCCACGATGATGACACCCAGGAGCCTGTTGCTGACACCCAGCAGAAAGGGTTCGCAACTAGTATCGATTTAATGAACTCTTTGTTCCAACAACCGCGGAAACAGCAGGCACAGTCTCCTTTGAAGGCACGCAATACGCAGCCTAGAGGTTTCGAGGTTTGACTCCCATTTTGCTTTCACTCCGTTGCTTTTTAATCTTTCGTGCCTTACCGTAGTGGTGTTACAATATGGCGAATGAGCCAAAGCCGAGATCTATTGGGAAAGTGGACTAACTTCCATCTTCATCGCAGTGGCCGTATAATAAAAAGCCGAAGACATTCGCTGGCGATTCTAATGAACTGAGTCAAGACGACCTTGCTTTCCACCACTCGTTCAAGCCGCGGTGGGGCCCAGCGGATTCCATAATATGTGTCAAGAACGGAATGGAGAGCATCCATTCCGCGGATGGCCGTTGGGACCAGAAGTTCTCTATCACAAGCGAGGAGAGGGACATCACTCTGCTGGCTTCGAGTAAGTCTCCAGAGTCGAATGTTATGCTCGATGCGCAGAAGAAGCAGACTACAATAAGCCGCGTTGATGATGTTCCTCTGGCCCGATTGACCAAGGCTGATTTCCAGCAATTCGCACAGACATCTTCCAGCTTGGCGGATTCTGACCAAGAGCGACTACTGTGGCAGTTGGCCAACATTCTGTTCAATGACGACATTGAAGATGACATCTCTGCCGGCGTTCCACCCCAGCTTCGGTCAAAGTTTATTCACCGCATCAAGAAGGATCGCTTCAGTCGACTGTGGGAAGGCATTGTTAGAGAAAGGCACGCACACACGCTGGGCAAAGCCAATTCAGCCGAGGAACAGGCTATCTACTTGCTTTGTTCGCATCGGGTTGAGGAGGCGTGCAATGTCTTGATAGCAAGTCAAAATCTTCATCTAGCCACCCTTGTCGCGCAAATTGGTCGAGACCCCACCAGCCGTGCAGACATGGCGAAACAAATCGAGATGTGGCGGCAGCATAACGTTTATTCGGAAATGACCGAGCCTATTCGAGCTCTGTACGAGCTTCTGGCAGGCAACGCCCTCCGCTGTGAAGGTAAATCAGGCGGCGCACTGGAGGATCGTGCTTCTACGTTCACCCTCACTGAACGTTTTGAACTCGATTGGATCCAGGCATTTGGTCTTCGTCTGTGGTACGGAATCACGGATGATGAACCTATTGAGGCCGCGGTTTCAAAATTCCTCACCGATCTTAGTACCGGTGATGAGTCCGCTTTCCCACATCCGTTCCGTCAGGAGAGTGCCCGGAAATCATCGCATTCGGCATCCGATACACTTGGTCTGGAGTCGCCTTTGTGGGTTCTGCTTAAGCTTTACTCAATGACTCTTGGAGTAGCTAAAGATATTCCAGCAATGGAATTCCCTGCTGCTCTGCTCCCGGAGTCCGTGAGCGGAGATAAACTGTCGAACCGACTCTCCTTCCAGCTGTATCAGCTCCTTGCCACTGCTGTCGGTCAACACGACGGCTTTAAGATTGATACCTTCCACGTGGATCAAATGGTATGCGACTATTCCTGGGAGCTCAGCCGTAGTGACCAGCTCGACCGGGCTTTATTCGTTTTACTCCACCTCTCACGGCCCGAAGATCGTGAGCGTGCAGTGAAAGAGACCCTGGCCAGGTTTGCTTCGCGGCTGCCCGACCAAACTACTCCTGAGGGAGTCCCAGATACTACCTGGCACTATCTTACTACAGACCTGCAGATTCCCGAAGGCTGGATCTGGGTTGCCAAGGCACTTTACGCTCGGGATATCGGAGATGCCGCCCGCGAGGTGGACTGCCTTGTCCGTGGCAAGAATTGGGATGATGCGCATGCTACTTTCTGCCGCATTGTCGGACCAACCGCCGTTATCGAACGTGACTACGCAACGTTGGAAACCTTGGTGTCAGGCTTCGGCGAGGCCCCCGAGCGCAAGGTCAGAGGATGGACCAGTGGCGGCGGTGTATATGAGGACTTCCTGCGCTTAGCGACAGCAAAGAGCGGCAAGCGGGATGCCACCAGGTTGAATCGCTTGGTGAATGCACTGGTTGCGATGGGTAATCAGATCAGCCAAGGATCGGGTGTCGAAGGATTGGAAGAACGAGTGGCTTTCAAGGAAATGAGCCGGGCGATTGCTAGCTGGACAGCACACGAAGATAGCAAGGTGAGTTTACATATCTTCGCTTCTCGTTTGACGCCTTTGAATGGTTTACTAACTTATTATCTTTTCGTAGGTGGTCGAGTTCTCTAGTGTGCTTAGTTTGCCTTTGACGGGCGATGCGCGAATCATGCAGACCGCCGAAATGAGTCGACGGTATTACGGTATCATCATGGCGGGTGCCTATTAAGCGTCTTTTTTCTTTTCGTTTTTGCTACGTTTCTTTGGTGTCATACCTACATGTAACCTAGTGTAAATTTCCCCCCCTGTTATGATCCTTCTTGGATTCCGCATTCTGCAGCCCTTTCGTGGTGCTTCATGATCTCCGTGTTAGTTTAGGTGCTTTGCGACAGTGTGTTAGTACGTGAAATGCGCCTAATATTTTTCCAAACTAGCCTATATTACTCTTAATATCTCTCTACCAGTTGACCATTCCATGCCCTCTATCCAGCCTTGAAACTAGAGGGAACAGCCTCAGCATATCACTTTACCCCGTATTTCTACGATAAAGACTAAATACCTTCGGAACCCACCAAAACCAAATATCTCATACCGTGAGGAAATATCCGTTCGTGGCCGACTTACATACCCTTTACCTTGCATCAATCAAAGTCAAGTACAGTGCAAACAGATCAACCCAAGTAAGCCTAGCCCTATTTAGAAGACGGTCCGCCCCGAAAGCGTCTCAAAGGCTCCTGATTTTGGATTTTATACCCCTTCCAGCTCCACTTATCGGACCGTGTATGATTTTGTGGGGTAAAGAAAAAGAAAGAAAAAGAAAAGGAAGCCCAGAATCATCAGGTAAATAGTTAATATTTGGAAATTTTGCTTGTCTCAAGAAAAGGTTGTTGTTGGTGGTGATATGGCGAGCATGCAATTCAGTTATGAAAACAAGATACAGGATCCAGGCTATCGTCTCAGGATACTTTTAGATCATTCTGCCGGTGGTCTGGGCAAATATTGTTTGGATTCAGCGCTTTAATTTGCCTGTTTTTGATGGATGAAGTTACGGAGCAATGATGACTCTCTTAGTGGTTCTCCAGTACGATGGAGATTATCGTGGATTGTATTGCGAGGTATCTTGAGATTTATTCTGCATAAGTTCATGCTTGTAGATCGAGTTTTGTGTGCACCTCAGATGTTTAACAAAAGAAATAGTATGATTGCTAGCGGGAACTGTACATGATTGGAAATCCTAAACTGAACATGAAAAAAAGAGAATACTCCTGCTCGAACATCTTTATCTAGAGAAACAGGTTTGATTATTTTTCCACCATTCATCCTACCATCAGTCTACAAAAAGCGGAATGATAGTTTACATGCCCGGGGAAATCAGCTTGCCCTCGGCCCTGCTGTTAGGGTGCCAGCCACCGGCATAAGGGGCCTGTCCGAGCTCCTGAGCATGCTCCTTGATTCTAGCCTCGAGTTCGGGGCGGAAATGACGGATAAGACCCTGGATGGGCCAAGCGAAAGCCTCACCCAGAGCGCAAATGGTGTGGCCCTCGACCTGCTTGGTCAGCTCCTGGAGCATGTCGATTTCACGCTCACGGGCCTGGCCGGTCCCCATACGCTGCATCACCTGCTGAGTCCACTTGCTTCCCTCACGGCAAGGGGTGCACTGACCGCAACTCTCGTGCCTGTAGAAGCTAGACAGACGCGAAATAGCGCGGACAATGTCGGTGGACTTGTCCATGACGATCACGGCGGCGGTACCGAGACCGGTCTGGTTGTCCTTGAGAGCATCGAAGTCCATGAGCTGATCATCGCAGACAGACTTGGGGATGACGGGGGTCGAGGAACCACCGGGAATGACAGCGAGGAGGTTGTCCCAGCCACCGCGGACGCCACCGCAGTGACGGTCGATCAGCTCACGAAGAGGGATGGACATCTCCTCCTCGACGGTGACGGGGTTGTTGACGTGGCCAGAAATACAGAACAGCTTGGTACCGGCGTTACGCTCACGACCGAATGAGGAGAACCAGTTGGCACCACGACGCATGATAGTGGGGGTCACGGCGACGGTCTCAACGTTGGTGACGGTACTGGGGCAGCCGAACAGACCCACAGCAGCCGGGAATGGGGGCTTCAGACGAGGCTTGCCGGCCTTACCCTCGATGGACTCGATCAGGGAGGTTTCCTCACCACAGACATAAGCACCCATGCCACGGTGAATGTAGACGTCGAAGTCGTAGCCGGTTCCGCAGGCGTTCTTGCCGATCAGACCAGCCTCGTAGGCCTCGTTGATGGCCCGCTGGAGGACAGTAGCTTCGTAGTAGAACTCGCCACGGATGTAGATGTAGGCAGCGTTGGCGTTCATCGCCCGACCGACGACGAGACAGCCCTCAATGAGCTTCTGGGGGTCCTTGCGCATGATCTCACGGTCCTTGCAGGTTCCGGGCTCACCCTCATCGGCGTTGATGACCAGATAACGGGGTCTGGGATCCTTATCCCAGTCCTTGAAGTTCATGAAAGACTATAGGGTCATTGTATGTTAGACCCTAAGGGTCCGAAGCCGACTCTCAATGAGCACTTACATATTTCAATCCCGAGGGGAAACCGGCACCACCACGACCACGCAGACCAGAAGCTTTGAGTTCCGAGATAAGCTGTAATTTGGCAGCAAACCTGCATTAGCATTGAACCAATTCGAGATAGAACACGCCACAGGATGATGGTCCATGGCCAATGGCCGAACACCTACCCAGTCATGACCCTTGAGAACAATGTCCTTGGTCCTATGCCAATCACCGTACTTCATTGCTGACTTCAGATCGGGACCATGGTGTCCGTAAAGGTTTGTGAAAATCCGGTCCTGGTCCTGCAGACCGCCATAATGCCGTACTGGGGGAGCGTTGTCCTGGACGGTCGCGAAGGTGCGGGCAGCCTGGCCCTGGGCTCGGAGGGAGCGGGAGGAAAGGTTGGCGAGGGAGGAAGGCGAGGGAGCCGCCGCTCGAGATATCATTGTGATAGCTGGCCCAATGGCTGCGGGGAGATCTGAGGGGAAGGGAAGAGTGGGAAGGGTTCAATGATGGAGACTCGCTGTCGTTGAGCTTCACGGGCGCGGCAATTCCTGCGCTTGCTGAATATCCGCCTTTCGCCCGCCGCTGATTGGCCCCGACGCGGTCACGTGGTCTACTGCTGAGTCAGGTATCCATCGGGGGTGAATCTGACTAATCATTATGTTTTGGAATTGTATATCGAACTATAGATCTCTTTTTCAACCCCAGAATGTACATGCCCCCTTCTACTGTGGAATATACAGGCATGACGCCGTAGAGAGCATCACTTGCCCTTGGCCGGGCTGCCCTGCGGCCAACAACGCCAATGGCTCCTCTGGTACCTGCACACTTTCTTGCTCCGTAATCATCCATGCCCACCGAAGCCAGTTGGGAGAAAGCCACCAGTTATCTCCCTGCCATTCTCCTGTGAATTTCTCCAAGTCAGAGAAGATAGCACTGTTCCGTGTTTTCATTCCCTCAAGCATGTTATCAAACATGTCTAGCAACTGCTCGTCATCCTCGTCCTCGAGTGCCCATAGTACATCTTCAGGGGGAGCTGGGTAGTTCTCGAGAAGGCATCTGGCCCATTTACTGAGTCGAGATGGAAGTAAAACCGTCCCACTGTCAGATTCTCCAGCGCTGGAAGCCGCTCTGATAAAACAGAGGAACATCGGGAAGGCAAAGGGGGATGTCTCAAGGCTTCCCCTCAGCATTGGGATAGCCCTTCCAGCGTTCTGAGTGACGCCCTGTAGGCACACTTTGCAGGGTTGTTGCATCTCAAGGGGCAGTATCTCGAGCAAGTCATCCAACACAAACAGCTCTCCATTGTTTGCAAGAACTGATTGACGCTCGAGAATTCGCACCTGTATCCTAGACCGTATTTCTTCTGGGAACTTTCCTGGAGGCACACGGACCATATGGGAACCGAGAAGCTGTTTTGTCTCCTCCCAACTTCCTCCAAAGTTATGCTGTCGTGCCCGGTTTAGGGTCCATGCTGCAATAACCAAGGCCGTTTCGGACAGCATGATTTGACTGTCACGATAAATTTTTGCATGGGTCTGCTTGAGATTACCAGGGTTCTGTAGGTCGGCCGCTGAAGACCTCAACTTTACAATATGTGTGATTAACTCGATGATGATCTGGCTGAGGGCGGCAAGAGTGGTTCGTGAGTTCCCATAAGCATCTGGGATTCGGATGCCTTGCTCTGAGATCTCAAGACCCTCTAATTCCCTGTTGTTGGCTGCCAATATCGAGACAGCGTTGAAGAGTGCCGGTGAAAAGATCGAATGCTCCATTGGCATGTCAGGAGCAAGAAGAGGGTAAAAGACATTGAACACATAATAATGATCATCCGTCTCTTTGGCCAGTTCCGGAAACATTTGTAGCTGCTGAGATCTTGCCATCTGAAGTGGACTGCCAGGTGGTGCTCGTAAGCTGACAATACGATAGTCACAAGGATTGTTTGGAAGGCAAAAGCCATAATTCATCATTACTGGCAAAAGAATTAGCTAACCCCGAAAGACCGCGTAGCATATAGCACTTACACTGCTCATTATTCCGGGGCCCGTAATTGTTTGAGATCTCCTGACCGGCAGCGACGTCTTCCAGGACTAAAAATGCAACACTCTCTTTGCCAGCGCGCCACTCTACCTTTGCAAGTGGACGATGATTTAGAATGTCAATGAAGGGTAGGAGCACAGAAACGTTCTCCTCAGGAAGCTGCGCATCGGGAATCACACCAGAGAGCACTTTGGCTGAGAACGCACGCGAAATAAAGATGGTCGACGCCCAGAGATAAAGATCCCTATATGAGACTCGTCAAATCCGCGCCGTCGACTATGAGCAGACACAGTTGTATCTTATCACTTACCAAGTGTACTTCTCAGCGCCATCAAACCCAGCCTTACAGAGCTCAGTGTATACAGTTTCGTACTTCTCTTTCAATAAACTGGCCTTCTGTGCTCTCGCTGGGGATAGACTTGTGCCCTCCAGCCATGCCAGGTCATCTCCTTCATAGTAGAGAGGAGTGGTCAAAGCACCAGGCTGAGGAAGCGTCTTGATATACGAAAACCAGAAACCGTCCTTTCCCTGGAGGTACTGCCCGATCAAAAAGAAAATTGATGCTTCTTCCTGTCCCACCGCTTCCAGAAAAGCGCGAGGGAAACGGACTCCGTGCTCAGGGAAAGAAACGGAGCTTCCATCATCTGTTGTGAAACTGTAGCCGATAGCATTGAAATACGACATTGTGGAAGTCAGAGGCGTTCTGATGATATGAGTATTACTGGGGACACCATTCTTCCAGTCTTTCTTGACCTGGAGATGCACGCCGCGCCGTTCATCCTTGGCTATTTCAACGCTCTCGTGAAGCTGGCCACCATTGTTGACCATCCAATCCAACAATGCAGTATAATGTTCCAGACTGCTGTCGATGTTGGGCCTATATCGAGTCAGACACGATGCCATGTAAACCGGACATGTCAATTGTGATGGAAAATTGACAGGCAGAAAGCGGCAAAACGATATATGACAATAGCCACCTGGTTGAGGCGGGGTTAAGATTCGAGAAGCAGTTCAGAGGCGCTAAATACAGTTTATATCAGGAGCAATAGTGACAATGCCAAGTTTCTGTTCAGTGGCTAAACAACAGTTCTTTATAACCTCGATCCGCCGGGGTACAAAGCTACCTGTATCGCGGGCTTGCGATAGATGGCATCGGTATCGGAGGAGTAAAAAAAAAAAAGAAGAAATGAAGGAAGGAACTTCAAGACGCTTACCCTTGGGCAGCCACGCTTAGGGCTGACGTGTCAGACATTATGTTATGAATTCTTCCAGGATGAGACACAGGCTTCCCCCTACTTAACTTGCAATTTTGAGGTTGCTGGAGGATCGGGTGGCTCTGATATTCGAGTGGAGGGGCAAGTCGATAAATGTTCGACTGCGGTGTCCCACTTTTACCCGAAGAGCAGGATTTCAAAATCTATACTATACGGACAATCCATTGAACACTACTGCGCCTTCAAACGGTGGGAATTGAAATCAATGCTTCTAACTCAATATCGTACAGTGCAGGTCTCTGCTGAAAATGAATCCTCCCAAAGACACAGATAGATATCAATAGCAAACAACACGCCAACGAATCTTCCCAAGGGGAAGAAGAGAAAAGAAAAAAAAGAAAAAAAAAAAAATCCCCAAGACTGAAAAAATACCAATCCGCAAGAGACCAATGCTTCTTTTCAGGAAACACTGCAGGACAGAAAACCCATTGTTGCCCAACCTCTAGTATCAAATCCCAAATGCTCCAGCCAGAAGTCACATCAGTCTAACCAACGCTAAGTCGTCTCCACGTGGCAGAGTCTGTAAGCGCTATGCAGTCAGTAGTGTACAGGTTTTCAAAGGACTGGTTTCGCTGAGTTGCCAAACACGAGCCCTTAAACACTTAAATCAACGGCCGGCCCCAAGGCATAGAATGACTCCAAGAACACGGTGTCACTCAAGACTTCCTCCCTGGAACTAGGATCTCTACCAGTCCATCGTCTTCACCATCACTGCTGTCATTCTGGTCGTCATCACCGAAAGGGGAGACCCCGAAGCGAGATCGTCGGAAGCTCTTGTATCGTCCAGGTCCAAGATCCGGGTAGCCCAATGATTCGTTCATAATAGCCTCATCTTCTTCGTCCGAGTCCATCATGTCTGCCCCACCAGATGGACCCACCATTTCGCCCATGTCATCATCATCGTCGTCGTCTACCTCAAGAGGGATACGTTCTTTACGTCTCAAGCCCTCGCTTCTGCCTTCGACGTCGTCCTCTGATGAATTGGTGGAGAAGGAGTCAGGCGGGCTGAATCCTGAATCAGGGAATGTAGGTGATGAGAAAGGCTCGTCTTTGTTCGCTGACGGAAAATCTGTTGAGGGAAAGGCATTGGAAGGGGAGCCTCCACCGTCGCCATCGTCATCTACACCAGCAACTACAAACGGATTGGCAGGCCATTGGGAATTCTCGTGGGCGTTTGTTTGCGCCTTCTCTTCACCCTTCTCGCCATTCTCCCCAGTGCCTTCAGCCGCCTGCTGCTTTTGAGCGGCGAGTCGCGCAGCCAGCTGTCGCCGTGCCCGAGACGGGCCGAGACTAAGAGGAGCCGGAGGCGGGGGCAGGATTGGAATAGGCTGACTTGTGGAGTTAGCGGATGCCTATAATTGAGATTGGGTCAGTGAAATTGCAGCAATAAGCATAAACTAAACGCGCAAAGTGTATGGGGGGACTAAAAAAAAAAGCACACGAATACTGCGGAGAAAGGGACAATGGTGGTGTACAAAAACGAAGGAGCCAACGTCTAAGCTGAAAGCCAGAGGACTACTTCTAAAACTCATAGAAACTGTTTGGCATCGAACAAAACATCACATGACCCTCAGGAGTTGCGGTTTTTCTTGAATGACTTCATACTTAAATGAAACCCGCTCCAAAACGCCTTATGTGCATGACCCTCATGTAACCACCGCTATTCACGTCATCCATCACGCGCTGAATCTCTGCAGCTGGTTCACATAGACCAGTTGGGGGAAAGGCAAAAAAATGCAACAATGTATACAAGAAGAGAACCAAAGGGGAAGGTGAAGATGCATTCCAAGACTTAATAATCCCGCATATCGACATCACTAAAGAAATCATCACCCACATTTTCAGAGCCGCCTTCGGCGGATTGATCGGCGAGGTTTCTGTCATCCTGATCTTCCATGTCTTCATCCTCATCGTCACTTGAGCTTGCGAACCCGCTTAAGAGTGAACTGCCTCCGCCGTTGAGCCCGAAAGCCCCGCCAGAGACACTTCCTTGACTCATCATGTCAAAGCCCTGGAAAGTAGATCCTCCAGCCGCTCCGTTCAATCCAGCGTCTGCAAGAGCTGATGAGCCAGTCATGCTTTGACCCGAGTTAAGCATGCCCTGGCGGTGCCCAATGGACATGTCCGGGCGTACCCCACCGAGAATGGCATTATCGCGTTCTCTAGTCTCCGAAAGTGTTTGCTCGACATAG